GATGGACTGGGGATGGTGGGACTTCAAAAGGAGTTCACAGGAGAGACTGATCTTGAAACCTCTTTTATATTATAGGTTTAGTGAAGATTAGGGATATATTGACTGAGGGTAGTGCCTTCTGTTATGTGTCCACACTCAGGATGGCTGAGAAAAAAAATCTTGCTTTGCATTGAATTTACCTCCATAATGCTAATTATTGAGATTAGTGTTTTAATTGGTGATCTGTCTTTGGAGATGATTTACCAAATTGTTTTAATTGCAGGAGCATGAAATACTGTAGCTTTATCTTTAATGATTGGCTTTTCCAGTTATTGGTAATTATGAAAGGGTTCTGTTGAGTTGCATGTGTCTTTTTTTTTAAATTTATTTTTAATAGGACAAATACTTGGAAAGGGGAATGAATAAAAGGAGAATTTGAAGAATGAGTAGTTTTTTCTGGGCATGTTGCTTACAATGAAGAGGAGACTAATTCATTTTCCTAATAAGGCTGCACTGAAGTTGGAATGTTTTGAGTTGCATTAAATGTCACAAAAGTGTTCATCGGAGAGGAATGACTTGTGGTATGTTTAGAAAGCAAATTTGATAATGGTTGGTGGAAATGAACTGTGTGCACAGGCTAAATATAGCTTTTTTTTTTTCCTTTTTTTTTTTTCCTTTTTTTTTTTTCCCCTAAAAGAACAAATGGCTTGGTAGGAGAAGCCTGTGCAAAAACTTTGTGCACTTTCATTTTCAGCATTAGGCTGTCAGTAAGTGGTGGCTGTTCCTTTTGTTTCCATTGTCTATAATAATTCATAAGAAACTCAGAACTGTAACCATTTGCCAAGGTCTTCTGTGTGCATTGTTTATAATAAGTATTTCCATGGAGCTTTTATGTCTTTGCTTTGTATGTAATTGGAAATATTGCATAAACTAATATACTGAACTGCTAGTTTTAAATGATTCAGAAAATATCCTGCTTCAACCCATCCTACTTTTTAGTAAGTACTAACAAGGCAAGTGTGTCATCTCATTTGGAAAGCCTTTATCCTCAGTTATTCATAGATTCAATGTGACCAAACCAGCGTGAAATCCTAATGTATTTAATTGCTAGATGACAAGTAAGAGCTAACAGCTAAGTAAGTGTACAAGATTATGCAGTTTAATAATGTTTTTGCTATGCAATTTGGTAGTATCTATCAAAATACTAAGGAAAATAGCCCTGAAGGAAGTATTTTGTTAAGTGTATGTGTCAGATATGTTTTTCTTTTCAGCTTGAAGTGCACATTTCCTTCTGCATTGTCTTGTCTAACCACAGTGCATTTTTTACATTCAGATCTCAGTGGCTTAGTTTGCTGGGTGAGCATTTTCTTTATATGATAAGGGATAAATAATTATTTTTAGTCTGATTATGGTCTGAAGTCAACAAGGCCAAGTTAAACTGTTTGAAGTATGTCTGGAACACACAAATTTATGCCCTTGTTTCAAGTATGTTTGGGGGAAATAAAGTAATGCTGTGCTGTCTGACTCCAATGTTAAAAGAACATAGGGAACATTTCAGTTATCAAGCCTGGTTTCCACCCATTTTATTTTTTCTTCTTGTATTATTTTTTTTAAGATTAATTTTAAACAGATCATCTGGGAATAGTAATTTGAAATCACTTTTGCTCCATGCTATATTGATGAATGTAGAGCAATCACATTCAGTGCAAACTCAAACTTTATTATTTTTATTTAAAAAAAAAAAAGTTTCCTCTGTGAGACTGAAACTTCAAGGTCTAGCATTAGCAAAGGGAAGCTTGTTTTTTTTCTTAAGCATGAAATATGATAGTTGGCTTGAATAATTCATGTCTTTCTACTGGTTGCTGTTAGAACAGTTTAATAAATACTCTCAACATTCCAAGTTACTTTATTTAAAAATGTATACATAAGATGCAGAGCAAGATGCATGTTTCCTTCTAACTCTGGTCTTGAAAAAGAAAGAAGTTTTCATATATGTTACCTCTCTTTTTTGTTGTTGTTGTTGTTGCTGCTGCTGCAAATTGACAGTTCTGCAATTAGGAGTGATTAATGATGCACCCCAGTGCTTTGGAGGGCCGGAGGTCAGTCTACTCATAGCCTGCACACTCGGTGGGAAAGGGGAGAACAGACTTACTCCCCAGAGCAGACAAAACCCTTTCTCTCTGTTGAGAATTACTGTTGATGTGGACATAATGTGTGTCCTCGGCACTGCACAAATGGTGAAGAAGGCGAAGTGCAGAAGATGCTTTTGTCACGAGGTGGGGTTTTTGTTTTCAGGGTGGTTTTTTTGGGTTTTGTGTTTCCTTCCAACAAAGCATATGGGTTATACGTATCTCTCTCTTTTTTTCAAGTTAGCTACTGACCTTGCATCAGGATTGATGTTCCTGGAATCTGATGAGTCCTAAGGGCCAAATGGCTTTAAGAGAAGAAGTAAACATTTTTAATATATTCAGAAAAAACATAAAAATAAAATTGTTAAATGGGCCAAGTATGCCTAATTCAAATGTTGCTCTACATGTTTATCTTGTGTGAAATAGCAAGACTGGTTTACACAATGGAGGTCTTTTAATTAAATTGTAACCTCTCTTAGCTGATCTCCATTAAGAAAAACTTTTTCCCTCCCTGGAAAATTGTCTTTTGGAAAATGAGAATCCAGCCTCAATTCTTCAAACCCTATTTAGAAGATTCATCAGAAATCAGGACTGTGTCATTTCAGGCAGGATATGATTGCTGAGTCCTGGATCATTAAGGATTCCAGCTTCTCTGAGCAGCTACCAAATATGGCTAGAAACGTTCTGAAGTAGGGCAGGAAGCAGCTTTTCTACCAAAACAGCAATAAAATACTCAAGTGTATTAACAGCAATGTTTTCAGACAAGATGTCAGCGTGTCAGATTTTTTTAAGTTTTGTGTGTGTGTGTTTGCACGTGTGTGCAAATCTGAAAACAAAGAAAAATGTGTTGCCTGTTCACTTTAGGTGTAACAAAATCTGTCAACTCTTTATGTTCTTCATCCTTTGCATTGCCATTCTTCCTTTCTTTCCCACCACCCTGCAGTAGTTTCAATGCGCACGTTGTTGGGAAGAAATTTTTTTGCCAGAAATTTTTAGAGTTCAAGTGACATTAACCTTACCTCAGAAGACCAAAGACACTGCTAAAAATTTCTGTGTTATTTAACTTGTTAAGTCCTTCAGAAGAATTTTTGTTGCTGTTGTTCTAAAAGAAAGCTTTCTGGTTTAAGCCTGAATAAAGGTTATGCGCTGTTTAAAATGCAGTTTATCTGACTAGAGCTTTTGAGTTATGTTACATAGTTTCTTATGAAAGGATGAAAAACAATGAACAAATTGGAGCTGAAGTCTCCTAACTGGTGATATGGTTTTATTATACTATAAATCAAGTAGTACTTGACAATAGATGCTGGAGTTCCTAATGTTGTATCTGGATGAATTAATCTAGTTTGGTTTCTGCTTTTTCTATGTGTTATCAACAATGTTGCAAGCTTAATGAGTTTGTGTTTCCTTTAAAGGAAACAAAATCTTTTGTATATCTGTGGGTGGATGTGGTGATTTAGAGGGAAATGTTTAAACATTAAATAACTTTTTAATGATTATGTATATGTTCTTCCTTTTTCAGAGTGGCTTTCACATCAAAACCCGATCTTATTAATGTACCAAAGGTATGTTCATCATCACAACCTAGAAGTGTAGCATGTGGCACAAACTGTTACCCATCTATCAAACCCTGTTGTTGATAAGCACTGTAATTCCAACTTTCATTTCAGTGTAACTAGCTACATTTCTGTGTATTAGGTTATGAGTATAGCAGCATAGGAATCTTTAAGTTATTTCCCCCATTATGCCCCTAAGTAAGAATGGAGAAACCTGGCAAATTATTACTAAAAAGTTATCTCCCAACCCTTGGGAATATTTTTTTAGAAAGATGTTGGTAAAGTTTTTCCTCTATCCCTAAGAAAGAAACAGTAGTAGAGTTTCTTTGTGGTGGGATTTTTTTAATTTTTTTTATTTTTTTTTTTAAATGGGTGCTGAAATCTTCCTTTGTATTTGAAAGGTGCTTATCTAAATATTAGTTTCAGTGAACAATTTCCCTTACTTTGCTTAGAGTCCTGGGGAATTATTTGTTCTTGAGTTCTTTTAACGTTATGTTCTCAAACAATAGTTCTGCTGTTTGCAAATCTGAAAATGCTTACAGTGCACTTGAAAATCCTCCTCAGTGGACATAAATATTGTATAACATATTATTGTTCTGCTGACCATGATTTGAAAAGCCATAGTTTGGGAACTGGCATGTTAAAACATAGCTCCCAGGAAAAAATAAAACAAACCAAACCAAACCTGACCAAAACAAACAGAAAAAACCAAACCCATAACCCCCCAAAAAATCCCAAACCATATTTTTTAGTGTTTTAATCTGACAAGGGTATATAAAGACGTGGCAAGTTGATGGGGGTGCATGCAACTGGAAAAGCTCAGAATCCTGAAGCACTGGCCTCTAATGGTTCTGCTCTCAAGGGCCGTAGCAACAGGTCAATATGCACAAGTGTGCACGTACACACACACATGCCTTTTGTGTGTGGGGAATGTGCGTATCTCAAATTGGGTTTGAGAGGTGGAACGTGATTTTTTTTGTCCGAACAACACTAATATTTTCCCCATGAGTTGTTACCCTGTGGGTTTTGCACTACAGTAGCACTTCGGTTGGTCTTGAATTTGATTTGTGGGGTGTCTGTTTTGGAAGTGCTGAGAGGAGTTATCATCATGAGATTTCACGTTGGTCGTGTCTGCTGCATCGGTCCCTTTCCTGTACTGCACGGCTCGGTTTTCCCCGTACATTTCATGCTGCAGCCTTGATAAAACTTGCTTCTGTGCTTTGTGTCATGCTAGGCAGCTCATGTCCTCTGAGGATGGCAGAAACCCCTGCTGAGGAATGTGCATGCGTTTGCCGTGGTTTTGTGTGTTTCTTTTTTGTTTCTCATCTCGCATAGGGAGAACCTACAGAAGTAGTTAAGCCTGTGCCCATTGCCTCTGCTGTTGCACCCAAAGTCACTGCCACCGCGAGCGTGGCTTACAATAAGACACCAAGGCCGTTTGGAGCTGTAACCTCTTCCAAAATCACCTCCATCCCATCACCGTCCTCCGCCTTCACCCCGGCCCAGGCGGCAGCTCCGTCCCCGGTGGCGGCTGCCCCCCCGGCCCGGTTTGCTGCTCCCGGGCTGCATGT